CACACCCCTGGCGCTGAGACCGGTCGCTAACGAGGCAGAAATGCCTCTCTCAGGTACGCCTACCCCTCGAAGATAAGGAGCCATTCCTCCAGGTATTAGTACTATCTATCCGCTCTAATCGCAGAGTTCCCACAGGGTAGCCTGTACATGTTTCTTGTGCGAGGTCTTAAGACAGCCGCCCCGCTGCAGTGGGGAGCAGCCTCTCCCTGGGTGAGCTCAGATGTCGCTTAACTTGTTTACATGACTGAGAGATGGGGTCATGACAGTGACCCTCAGAGCTACTGGAGGGCTCCCCGGCAGAATGCATGTGAAGTGCTTCGCACCGAGCCTGTGCGTAAACCCCTAATGATAATGTGGGATCAGGAGTCAGAGAGGCCCGGATGGAAACATCAACTGGGCCTTTGGGCACCTGGTCCCCTTCAGCCCCTTGGGGCCTCTGAGTCTCCTTCCTCAGATGAGAACCTACTACTCCTTGAGTTAAGAGGCTGAATGCATGGGGCTTGGTCTAGACCAGCGATTTTCAGACTTTTTCATCTCATGGCACAATTCAACTAAACACTAAAATTCTGTGGCTCACCAAAAAATATATTTTTCGCTGATCTGACAAAAAAATGAGTATAATTTTGATTCATTCACACCTGATGGGCATTGTTGTGTTGGCTGTTGCCTTTTTTTTTTTTTTTTTTTACAATCTAAGGGAAAAGAGGCCAGCGCCCTGACTAAAGAGCCAGGTACTGTACGTTTTAAAAATTCTTGGGGCACCAGTTGAAAATCACTAGTCTGGACCAGTACTGGCTGCTGCTGAGCACTTCCAGCGTGGCCAGCCTGGGTTGTGTTCTCAGAATTTCTGCCCTCCTCAGGTCTGTCTGAGAGGGAGGCCAGGCCATTATGCTTCCTGAGCTCAAGGGCACAAAGACGATGTCACTTTTACTCTGTGGTTTCAGCCACCCTGAGCCCACTGGGCGGAAAGGGGACTGTGATGTCACCTCTATTCCTCTGTACTGACATTTCCACCAGCAAATAGCCATCCCCAGAGTTCTGAGTGGGACGGAATCACACAAGGGGTGGGAGACAGGATGAGGGAGATGGAGGAAACAGAAGGGGGTAAACACAGCACCATGCCGGATGGCGGTAATCCAGATGCCCACCCCGAGAACTCACTCCCCTGCCTTCCCTGAACGGATAGCCTCATAGAGCACAGTGTTCTACAGCTTGCTGCCCTGTTATGAAGAGCCTCTGAACTGTAACAACTAATTCCTCGGCGAGGCAAGTGAAAGACATTTTACCCACCACATTATCATCCTGGGAGTGTGGCATGCAGGAGGGTGTGGGCAGGTAGGAAACATCATGCTGGCTGGCCAGTATTCCACATGTTGTGCACTGACCTCAGACTTCCTACTATTCCACGTGCTACGTGAGCCTCCTGTGGCTTTGAGGCGTAAAGTCCCTTCTCTCTCTACACGTGTTTTCTGCATGACAGTAGCCACCAGCTATGGATAGCTCTTAAAACATTTTGAAGTGGAATTAATTAAAATTTAAAATTGTCTTCAGTCTCATAAGCCCACATCGGGCTACTGCCTACCCAGAATGGACATGGGACATTTCCATCTTCCAGCAAGTTCCATCAGACAGTGCTGTTCTAGAAAGGGGGGATTAGTTAGTGCACATCTAGAAAAGTGTTTTAAATGACCATTTCCTTATTTCCTTGATTGTTAAGAGTAGTAACAACTAATTTTATACGTAAATGAGAATAAGCCTCATCCTGTTTCAAATCCTAAAGGATCATAATCCAGAGCCACAATATTGCACAACACTGACAGCTGGAAACAAAAGCCACGTCTTCCCACATGCACAGCACTTGTGTTTGCTCCCTGAGACCGGCGCTGGTCCAGGACTCGAGCTGGTGTCTATGTGCTGGGACCCAGTGACGCCACACAGGTGATGAGGCGTGGGGACCGGCGCTCAGGTGGACACGGGCAGTGCCCCGGGAGAAATTAAATGTCTGGTAATTTATGGCTTGCCCCGGGAGACTCGGGGACGAGTTGTCTGGACACACAGTCTGCACTGGTGTGAGGTTCCCCTTCACTTCCCCAGCGATGCCATGCCTTTCGATGGCACAAGGGTTGCTGCTGTTCCGTGTGAGCGCTGGAGGGGAACACGCCTGCCAGTAGAAGCCTTCATCCGTGTTCACCAGGCGCCAGGCGGCATGCCCACACAGACTCCCAGGAGTAGCAGGGCCAGGTATCACCTTTTAGGTTCCACCCAAAAGAAGCAGAAGCTACTGAGAGATGGAGAGTGAATGCAGATAGTAAAAGGGAAGGGACTGTGTCCCGTCCACGCTGGGCCTGGCTGGGGCCCGAATGCTGGCCATGTGACCACAGGGCCTTCCTTGCTTGCATGAGGACAACTGTCTGAGGTTGGAGTGGTAATCACAGTCACTCGTTGCTAGGGGTTTACTCACAGGCTTACTCCCATGCATTCTGCCAGGGAGCCCTCCAATAGCTCTGAGGGTCACTGTCATAACCCCATCTCTCAGATTTGTAAACAAGTTAAGTGACATCTGAGCTCACCCAGGGAGAGGTAGTTACTGAACTTGAACTCTGGTAACCTGACCTCTGCTATGGGTTTCTGCAAGTCTGCTGGGGGTGTCCTGGGAATTCATCTACGTACCAATCCAGCTTGTCCAGTCTTTTAATTGGCTTCTCCATTCTCTGATTTAGTGGTCAAGCACACGGGCTCTGGGGCTAGACCACGTGGGTCCAAGTCCTAGCTGTGCTGTTAGCCACCTGCACACCATCTGGGCTGGTTTTCCTCCGTAAAAAGAGGGCACTGTATTGATATCTGGCATCGCTGAGGGCATTCAGAATGCAGACTGACAGAATCAGAACTTGCATTTCAGCAAGATCACCAGGTTTATCTGCACATTTGAAATCATACACTAAAAAATAGTGCACTGCAATGAGTTATTTTTTAAGATACATAAGACTCTCAGATGAGTTGGTTTCATACCACACACCTGTCACAGGTCTAGTTCAACTTAGCATGTGCACTTAGAGAGTTGAGGTGTTCCTCAGATGGACACAGCCACGTGAAACCAAAGGATTCCTGTGTTGAACGACAAGGAGATGAAGCTAAATTGTTGCTGTGAGGACTTATGTCAATGAGGAAGGTTAGCAGTACAGTTCCTGTACTCCATGAGGGCTGGGCAGGAAGCATCATTAAGTAAAATAAAATCTGTTGGCATCTGTTCCCACCAAGATTTCATTCCTAATTAGATCCAACCCAGGAAGCCGAATCCTGGAGAGAGAAGTGGTAAGCATCTAGGTAATCTCAAAAGCTACCACACGGGGGAGCTCTTGGTAACCTAAGAGATACCTATCAGTGGGTCCTGCAGGCTCAGGAATTGTGAGAACATCCCTCTTCTGCCTTTTATGAAGAAAAACTGTTGGGAAAAATAATGTCCAACTCTATACCTCACACTGAAGAGAAAGGACAAGATCAATCATACTCACTCTGACACCTGGAAGAAAAATTCACCTTAGAAGAAAGCCATATTCCACGTAAGGATGAGGGATACAGATAGAATGTGCGCACTTTCCTCCAATTACTAGCAAGAGTTGGTATTATTTGAGAGGCAATGAGAGGGTCTTTCTCTCCTCAGCACATTTACTGACCCCTGGAATTCCACTATTAGAGAGTTATTCCTTTGAATTAAGTCAGTAGTTCTCAAAGAGGGATAATTCTCACCCTAGTCCCATGTTAAAATGAACTGATAGGTCCCACTCTCAGAGCCTGATTCAATAGGAACCAGAAAATGCTTGAGAGAGTGGCTCACAGTCACAGGACACTCTCTAAATTCCAATGGCCTCCGAGAAAGCAGAGAAAAAGGCTCAGGGATACCAGCACCACCCAGCTAGAAGGACACACCAAGCCTAATGAGCATGCCAATCACGCCCTGCTCCCACCTCACCATCTGTGGTCCTCACATCCTCTGAACAGACCTAGCTTTATCTCTCTCCACCTCCCACCTCTCCCAACCTGCTCCATGTAGCATCCAGCCCTCCCCACTCGCCTCTCTGCACAGCCTACAGCCTCAGCCCACCCCCTGAGGTGGTGTTGGATCAGAAAAGCCCCTCCAGGGCTCCAGCAAAGCCAGCAGTAGCTTGCCCTGCATTCGGCACTCAGGGCTCATCCCCAGCCACCTCCAGAGCTTGGGTGACAGTTCACTTCTTTCCATCCCAATGCACCACCATGTGCAAGTCCTAACTGGTTCTGACCTCATGTCTAGAACTTTTCCTACACTGTCCCTTCCCATACACCTCTCCCCTGCCAAGGAGCTATCCTGCTAAATGCGTAGGCAATTGCTCTCACCTCTCATGCAACAGAGTAAATGATAGGACTGGATTGTAACCTGTTCTTTCCAGCCACTCTGGCTACGTGCACGTGCAGGCCCTCCTTCCTGGGCCCCCAGGCAGACAGGCGCCCGGGAACTGAGATTCACCTGCCTCTGACTCCTGAGCAGCCCTCTCAGCTTCTCCCGGGCAAGGTCCCTGCAGCCACGCTCCCTCCCTAACGTTAGGCCAGGGTATAAAGGCTGTAAATACAAAGTCATCATCATTATTGGTTTCTCTCTCCAACTACGCAGGGGAAGGGGAAAAAAGACACCCATGGGTCATTGATAATAAGAACTGCATTGATCAAGTGAAGATTAAGAAAGAGAAGACATGACTGGCTGCAAGGAACTCACACGTGATTGGTCAGCACAAGCCCAGGTCTAACCCTTGCTGAAAATCAGAATGGATCCCTTGATAGGAGATCTTTCGGTTACATGGTTGTTTGAAACTCTTACGTAGGAATAAAAATCAAAGCACATCTCATTATACATTTACCATATTGCATTCCAAAAAGGGAAAGATGATATAGGTAAAGAAATAAAAAAACTGAGCAAATTATACCAATACTGATGCCTGTTTGAGCAATTGGGATCAGGACTATCCCAGAACACCCCCCTCAAACTCCCATAAGCAGTTGCAGTCATCCTAACCCACCCTTGAGGTTGGAAACCCATGAAAAAGACGGACTACCCCAGCACACAGGCCACCACGGGGACACTGCATAGGCCTCCGCCACAGCTGAAACAGGTGGCTGGCCCTGACCTCTGTTTCCCTCCTCTCCTGGCCCTTCTTCAGCTCCCCTCCCAGGACCAGCTGCTCATGCATATGGCCTCCGGCCCTGGCCCTCCCGCTTGCCCAAGCAGATTCGATTTCCTCTTCACACCCGGCCCCACCCATCCTCCAGCAGCGGGGAATTCCTTCTGCAGGTTTCCTGTGGGGCCATCCATCTCAAAATGTTTAACTGGTAAAAAGAAAGGAAGGGCTTCATTATCTCTAAGCATCCACCTTCAGGAACACACCTTCCTGATCTGCGCTCTCAGGAGCCTGAGCAAAGGCCATTGCCCGTGGACAACCTGGTCACTGAGTGGCTCCTGCCTATGCACGGTGGGGTCAGTGTTTGAATAGGAGTCCCTACCCTCCTGCTCCTCACCCCCATGGTGCTACACTTCGCCCTCTTTTAAATTCATTCTTAAACTGGAGAGCCGGGGTGGGGGGGTAAATAAACCCCTTTGCAGATTAAGATGTACAAATTGCCAGTTAAAGAAAGTCACGGGGCTGCAAGGTACAGCCTGGGGAACAGAGTCGATAACATATTGATAAATGTGTATGGTGCCAGGTGGGTACTTGACTTATGGGGGTGATCACTTCTTAACTATTGTGCATGTCCAATGTTGTACACCTGAAACTGATATGATATTGTATTTCAACTGATATTGCAAAAAAATAAAATAAATAACCCCTTTGCTGGGGCAAAAGAAGGAGATGGGAACTGAGGCTCACGGCAGGCCTCACCATGCTCGCGGCAGCATTGTCACAGGTCATCCCGGCAGACCTGTGAGAGGAAACCACTGTCGCCTGCTGCCCGCAGGGCAGAAGCAGCGAGGGACACAGGACACACAGCTGGAACTGCCCAGGCCTGCCCCTAACTTCCCAGGCACCCGGGCCAGCACCTGCAAAGGCAGAGTTAAGCGGGGACATGGAGAAAAGCCCACCAGCTTCTCCCATTTTGTCAGGGACAAGTACCCAAGTGGACTGCGGAGCTGAGTGAAAGGGAAGATGGTGAGCAGTTGCCGAGTCCTGGGTCACAGGACCTCCGACATGTTTTCTCATCCATGTATTGCTGCTGCTTCTTACCCAAGGCTTTTTATTGAAAATGAACATTCATGGAACTGGCAACAGTGCCACCTGCCGTTCAGAACGGGCTCAAACCTGTTAAAAGAAAGCAGAACAAGGGAATACTCCAGAAATACAGAATCACCTGCTGCTATCTTCTACTTGTTTTGGGGTTTCCAGTATTTTGGAAGCTCTTCTTCTAGTTAATAATGTAATTTTACTGTTAGTTATTACAACGTTCTTGAAGCAGTTTTCAGAGAGTGTAATATAACCAAAGGATAATACTTAAACAGAATTAAACTCTCCTCGTACTGTAAATTGACCCCTCCACTCTCTATAAGGGTGTAGACCCTCAGTAAACATAGTTCATATGTAATAGTAGGGCATTGTGGTGAGTTGAGTTGTGTCCTCTAAAAAGATGTGGAAGTCCTAGACCCCAGTACCCGTGACTGTGACATTGATGGGAAATAGGTCTTCACAGATGATCAAGTCAATATGAGGTTGTTAGGGTAGACCCTAGCCCAGTAAGACTTGTGTCCTTGTAACCAGGGTAAATCTGGACCTGGAGGCAGACATGTGCACAAGGAGAAAAGAATAGGATATAATTAGAATAGAATAGAATAGACTAGAATAGACTAGACTAGACTAGACTAGACTAGACTAGACTAGAAATTAAGGCAGGGGCCAAAAAAGGCCCCGGATGGCCAGCAAACTACCAGAAGCAAAGGGGGAGGCATGGAACAGATCATTATCCAAGAAGAAACCAACCCTGCTGCCTCCCCCACATCCCTCCACTCCAGAACTGGGAGACAATAGCTTTCTGTTACCCTCAGCCATCCAATTTGTGTGACTTTGTGGTGGCATCCCTAGCAAACTAATACAGACATCAATTGCAATGGGATGAATCTGCTTATATTGCAGCCTCCATGGGATAGAACCAAAGAGCATTAACCAGCTGTGTGTATGTAAAGCTCAATGATGCTCAGCAACTTACCTCATTGCCTTGTCTATAAAATGAAACTCCACTCTCCTCGGCGTTGATATGCATCCGTGATGAGCACAGGCATGGAAGCATGGCCTATAAATTGGAAAGAGTGACAGTTACACAGTCTTATCACAAGGAATACAATATCATCAGACCCAGGAATATACAAACCCTGCTCAGACAAGGTCACTTATGTGCCCCTACAGCCACCTTCCTGTATGCCTTGGGAGGTTGACCAGTAGGAAATGCATCATTGGCCCCTTTCTCTCTCTCTCTCTCTCTCTCTCTCTAAAAAAAAAAAAAAAAATTATATATATATATATATATATATATATATATATATATATATATATATATGTTATTGATTTCAGAGAAGAATGGAGAGGAAAAGAGAGATTGAAACATCAGTGATAAGAGAGAATCATTGATTGGCTACCTCCTCCACAATCCCTACTGGAGATCAAGGCCACAACCTGAGCATGTGCCCTGACCAGAAATCTAATCATGACTTCCTGCTTCATAGGGCAATGCTCAACCACTGAGCTACACTGGTTGGGCTGGCCCCATTCCATTTTGCTATCAGTTGGGATTAGCCAAGGGGTTGCGGGGGCGGGGCGGCACTAGCAGGAGATCAGAGGGCAGGCGAAGAGATGTTAGGTCATGAGGAGCTGCCCGCATCTATAGAAACCTTCAGCTACCCTCTCAGAATTCCAGCAGTTCTGGCCTCCCCTTGGCCCTTCAGGTCCAGGATGTAACCGCACCATGCAAGGGCCAACTCTGCCTACGCCCTGGTAAACAATTCCCTCAGTAAACTCTCCTCACAGTCTCCAGTTTGAGTGTCCTCTTTGGCCTGCCAGGACCCTGACTCAGCAGTTAGTTTAGAAAGTGGTCCTGGGAAATGGCCTCCAGATGCAGCTGTGTGAATGCTGTGCTCGTGTGTTTGAGGACTCCAAGGACTGGCTCCCATGTTGAGGGAAACAGGACACAGGAAATGCGTGCCCTGCAGTGCGGCCATGATTACCTGAGTCATTCACCAGTGCTCCCAGGGGGTGGGGTACAGGTGAGCATGAGACATCAGGAAGGCTAGCGATTGTGGTCCTTCTGACCACAGGAAAGACGGTGATTGTGGTAGAGCAGCAACACAAAGGCATGGGAATACTCTCCCTGCATAAAAAGGAAGGAGAGCCTGCCATTTGTAACAACATAGATGGACTTTAAGTGCATTATGCTTGGTGAAGTAAGTCAAGCAAAGATACTATAGGGTATCACTTATATGTGGATTGAAAAAGAAATGAACTCACAGAAACAAATCAGATTTGTGATTGCCATGGGGTGGGAAGGAGAACTGAGTGAAGATGGTGAAAAGGTACATTCTGGGGAAGTTCATACCAATACTGTGTTGTATATTTAAGAGTTGCTAAGAGAGGTCTTTAAAGTTTTTATCAGAAGGAAAAAAATCATAAACTATGTGAGGTAATGGATGATAACTTAAGTAGCAATCATTTCACATATCAAATCATTAAATTGTTCAACTTAAATTTATACAATATATCAATTATATCTCAGTAAAACTGCAGAGAGTAGACAATACAGTTGACTCATAAACAGCACTGGTTTGAAGTGGTTCCACTTATATGCAATATTTTTTCAATAAATAGTACAGTACTACAAATGTATGTTCTCTTATGATTTTCTTAACAGTTTCTTTTCTCTAGCTTGCTTTATTGTAAAAACACAGTATATAATACATATAACATACAAAATATGTTTTAATCAATGGCTTCTAGTCAACAGTAGGCTATCATACAGTTAAGTTTTGGGGAAATCACAAGTCCTACTTAGATTTTCACCTATCAGGGGTTGGGAGTTGGCACCCTGAACCCTGGCATTGTTCAAGAGTGGACTGTAATTTGCAGTTCCTTCCATCAAGAAGTAGTGTGCTCTTCTACCCTGATTCTGGCCTCAGGGATATTTGGGCCATTGGGCTATTAGCAAATGTGACAAACAGAGGCTGCAGACATTTGGGGTTTGCCTTCTCTCACTGCTGTTGGCAGCCTTTGGGCCTCCATGTGATGACACCTGAGCCAACCTCCTGGGGAATGAGTCCACAAGAAGTGAGACCCCGGCCCCTCCAGGCATCCCCATCATCCCAGCTGAAGCCCGGATGTGGCATCCTAGATCATCCAAAGCCTGTCAAGCTGCTCAGGCCTGACCCGAGCAACTAGATGGCCCACAGGCTTTTCTTGAGCCAGTCTGTTCTGGGTGATTCACAAGTCAGAGATTACCTGAAATAGGAAGTCCCCGGGGCCATTTTTGAAGGCACAATGGAATGGTTGAGTTAAAAGAGAAGTATGTAATACTCATTTTAAAACTGTTGGTTTTATTGATAAGGACTTTAAAATGCAAGCCAAAGGCATGCTTCTGAAAATTCGGATTTCAAATTTCATTTACTCAGTACTAAATTTAGATGCTGTATTAAGTAAAATTAGTGATACAAGACAAATGATGTCCTTGAAAGCATCAAAGCAATTAAAAAACTCTTTGAAGAAAACCAGTGATTATGTTTACCCAAGACCTGTTATTGATGCTGAGTAAATTGCAGACTCTCTTGATTTTGACACCAACTTCTCCACTATGAAAACAATAAATAGAGAAAGATCTTCCCTTGAAAATCGCATGATTAGGCCTTCCATGACCCAAAACTCAATTTTAGGATTAATTTCTTCTTCTATATTACATATAGTAATGTCATTGTTAAAAGAAGGTTTAGCCCAGCCAGTGCTGCTCAATGGTTGGTCAAGTGTTGATTCCAGGTCAGGGTATATGCCCTGGGTTGCAGACTCACTCCCCAGTGTGGGGTGTTCAGGAGTCAATTGCTCAATGGTCCTCTCTCATCATTGATGTTTCTAGCTCTCTCTCCCTCTCCCTCCTTCTCTGAAATCAGTAAAAATATATATATTTTTAAAGACAGGTTTATAATAATGAAAGAATAGCACAGATATCTCAGGTTTCTGGATAATGTATAATTAGAAAAAGTAAGATAGAGATAAGCTACTTTAATTATACAGTATACTACTGCTTTTGAATGTCAAACCTGTTATTGAAATTAACTTATAAAATTGAAACTAACTTATTACTTGGGAAATGTGATATTGATGGGTCACCATGCATGAGAGACTGAAAACTTTAAATTACTGTCTAAATTCTAATATGCATCTACTTTAGGCATTACAGTTTATTCACAGCAATAATTCACCAAGAATGTTCTAATACTTTAGTAACTTTTAGGCTATAGGTAACTGGGACAGTGGGGAATATAGTCCATGAGGAATATAACCTCTTAAAATTACACTTTATTCAAAAAACTACCAAAATTAATACTATATCTGAGATTCTACTATCACAGAAATACTGTCAAATAGAACCATTATCTCTATAGCAAATGAGCTATTGGAGCAAGTAACTATTGAAATGGCCGAGAAACCAGTGATTATGTTTATCCAAGGTCTGTTATTGATTCTAAACAAATTGTGAAAGCAACCAGGTATATTCAAACAAAGTATTATATAATAGTGATATCGAATTCCTAATTATTCTGATGAAAATTGTAGGCTTTCTATTATTGGATTATCAATAATTTGATTTAATTTATGCAGAACTAATATAAACTTTTTGGTATATTGTAATATTGTTGAAATAATTTGTATTATAAAAATTAAAAACATGCTCATTTCTAATCTAGACAAAGCCACTAATTAAGGCTACCAGTATTCTAAAACTAACCCAGTCTAACCAAGACACAGATCCTTACACCAGAGTGTCTTTCTTGACACCACATATGAGAAGGATGGATCATTCTTTACCTCTACCGCACCCCAGCTTCCTCAGGGATCCAATTTCATGTGGTCTATGAACTTCCCTAAAGTGGTTCCAAAGTCTGGGTGCATATGCACTTGTACCCTTTTCCCCAGGGCAACTGCCCATGCCTCCAAAAGACCAAGGACAGTGTATTTCAGGCTGCAGCGGTAGTTCTCTCATTTTAGCACCTGTTACAATTACCTGGCGGGCTTATTAAACCACAAATTACTGGACAGAGTTTCTGATTCAGCATATCTGGAGTAGGGCTCAAGGATTTGCACTTCTAACAAGTACCCAGGGGACACTGTTGTTGCTGATCTAGAAGCTACATTTGAGAACCAAATGGGCTGAACTCTCCAGTCTTTACCAGCAGAGGGCAAGCCCACATGTAGCCCAGTGGGTGTCAATAGAGTATTTCACCACTAGGTGACAGCACCTGCACACAAATGTCTACATTCAGATCTCCCATAAATTAAAAAAAATAAAATAAAAATCACAAAAGCAAGATAAGAAAGCCAAGGCCAAGGGAACTACGTTTTTCTCCAAGGTGACTGATAACCCAATCCTGACAAATGATCAAAATGTTTATCTCTTAAGAATACACACCCATCTAAATCAGGCTTGAGGGAGGAGCAAATACACCGCCTGACAGAAAAAGAAGCCGGATGCTGGTTTGCCTTGGGTCCCTGTCCTGACGCCCCTAGATGGGATTTCATACTTCTCTGTCTGCTGACTTGGAAATGTCCCTCTGTGGAAAGTCCTGGGCTGGATGCTGCAAAATTACCCAAGAAGCTCATTAAAATACAGAGCCCTCTCCCTCCACTCCCCTGTTCTAATTAAGCAAATCTTGGGTTGGGCGCAGACCTGTTTTTAACTGGCACCCCAGTCAATTCTGAGGCACAGCCACGTTTTGGCCACTTGCACGTGTATATTAAATAGACATCGACCGGTGCTCAGGTATGAATATGTGTACATCCCCACCGTTCACAAAGGGGCTTTCTAGGTCCAGGTGTCGCGGCAGTCCCATTCCTAAAGCAGGAGAGTGGCACTGTCCAGCCCAGAAGCCACCAGCCACCGGAGGCTCCGAGCCCCTGAAACTGGGCTGTGAGCTGAGATGTGTGAATCAGTGTCAAGTAACATCCGATTTCAAACTCTCGGGGGTGTGGAGGGGGAGAGAGAATGTAAGGTATTTTTAATGTGGCTACTAGGAAAATTAAATTACTTTGTCGCTCACC